ATCACTCAATAGTTTGGATAAGCGTTTAAGTATTACATCCCAAAGATTTGCCAGCCAGGTTTTCCTTTGTGGAATAAGGTGATCACTCAGCAGTTTGGATATGCGTTTAAGTATTATAGCCCAAAGATTTGCCAGTCAGATTTTCCCTTGTAGAGTTAGGTGATCACTCAATAGCTTGGATAAGCGTTTAAGTATTACATCCCAATGATTTGCCAGCCAGGTTTTCCTTTGTGGAATAAGGTGATCACTCAGTAGTTCGATGAGCGTTTAAGTATTATAGCCCTCATATTTGCCAGTCAGATTTTCTCTTGTAGAGTTAGGTGATCAATCAATAGTTTGGATAAGTATTACATTCCAAAGATTTGTCAGCAACATTTTCAATTGTTAAATTAGGTAATTACTCAATAGTTTGGATAAGCGTTTAAGTATTACAGCCCAAAAATTTGCCAGTCAGATTTTCCCTTGTAGAATTATGGGATCACTCAATAGTTTGGATAAGCGTTTAAGTATTACATCCCAAAGATTTGCCAGCCAGGTTTTCCTTTGTGGAATAAGGTGATCACTCAGCAGTTTGGATATGCGTTTAAGTATTATAGCCCAAAGATTTGCCAGTCAGATTTTCCCTTGTAGAGTTAGGTGATCACTCAATAGTTTGGATAAGCGTTTAAGTATTACATCCCAATGATTTGCCAGCCAGGTTTTCCTTTGTGGAATAAGGTGATCACTCAGTAGTTTCGATGAGCGTTTAAGTATTATAGCCCTCAGATTTGCTAGTCAGATTTTCCCTTGTAGAATTATGGGATCACTCAATAGTTTGGATAAGTATTACATTCCAATGATTTGTCAGCAACATTTTCAATTGTTAAATTAGGTAATTACTCAATAGTTTGGATAAGCGTTTAAGTATTACATCCCAATGATTTGCCAGCCAGGTTTTCCTTTGTGGAATAAGGTGATCACTCAGTAGTTTCGATGAGCGTTTAAGTATTATAGCCCTCAGATTTGCTAGTCAGATTTTCCCTTGTAGTATTATGGGATCACTCAATAGTTTGGATAAGCGTTTCAGTATTACAGCCCAAAGATTTTCCAGTCAGATTTTCCGTCGTAGAATTAGGTGATCACTTAATAGTTTGGATAAGCTTTTAAGTATTACATCCCAATGATTTGCCAGCTAGGTTTTCCTTTGTGGAATAAGGTGATCACTCAGTAGTTTCGATGAGCGTTTAAGTATTATAGCCCTCAGATTTGCCAGTCAGATTTTCCCTTGTAGAATTAGGGGATCAGTCAATAGTTTGGATAAGCGTTTAAGTATTACAGCCCAAAAATTTGCCAGTCAGATTTTCCCTTGTAGAATTATGGGATCACTCAATAGTTTGGATAAGCGTTTAAGTATTACATCCCAAAGATTTGCCAGCCAGGTTTTCCTTTGTGGAATAAGGTGATCACTCAGCAGTTTGGATATGCGTTTAAGTATTATAGCCCAAAGATTTGCCAGTCCGATTTTCCCTTGTAGAGTTAGGTGATCACTCAATAGTTTGGATAAGCGTTTAAGTATTACATCCCAAAAATATTCCAGCCAGAATATGCCCTTGTGGAATAAGGTGATCACTCAGCAGTTTGGATATGCGTTTAAGTATTATAGCCCTCAGATTTGCCAGTCAGATTTTCCCTTGTAGAGTTAGGTGATCACTCAATAGCTTGGATAAGCGTTTAAGTATTACATCCCAATGATTTGCCAGCCAGGTTTTCCTTTGTGGAATAAGGTGATCACTCAGTAGTTTCGATGAGCGTTTAAGTATTATAGCCCTCAGATTTGCCAGTCAGATTTTCTCTTGTAGAGTTAGGTGATCAATCAATAGTTTGGATAAGTTTTACATTCCAAAGATTTGTCAGCAACATTTTCAATTGTTAAATTAGGTAATTACTCAATAGTTTGGATAAGCGTTTAAGTATTACAGCCCAAAAATTTGCCAGTCAGATTTTCCCTTGTAGAATTATGGGATCACTCAATAGTTTGGATAAGCGTTTAAGTATTACATCCCAAAGATTTGCCAGCCAGGTTTTCCTTTGTGGAATAAGGTGATCACTCAGCAGTTTGGATAAGCGTTTAAGTATTATAGCCCAAAGATTTGCCAGTCAGATTTTCCCTTGTAGAGTTAGGTGATCACTCAATAGTTTGGATAAGCGTTTAAGTATTACATCCCAATGATTTGCCAGCCAGGTTTTCCTTTGTGGAATAAGGTGATCACTCAGCAGTTTCGATGAGCGTTTAAGTATTATAGCCCTCAGATTTGCTAGTCAGATTTTCCCTTGTAGAATTAGGGGATCAGTCAATAGTTTGGATAAGCGTTTAAGTATTACAGCCCAAAGATTTGCCAGTCAGATTTGCCCTTGTAGAATTAGGGGATCACTTAATAGTTTGGATAAGCGTTTAAGTATTACATCCCAAAGATTTGCCAGCCAGGTTTTCCTTTGTGGAATAAGGTGATCACTCAGCAGTTTGGATAAGCGTTTAAGTATTACATCCCAATGATTTGCCAGCCAGGTTTTCCTTTGTGGAATAAGGTGATCACTCAGTAGTTTCGATGAGCGTTTAAGTATTATAGCCCTCAGATTTGCCAGTCAGATTTTTCCTTGTAGAGTTAGGTGATCACTCAATAGTTTGGATAAATATTACATTCCAAAGATTTGACAGCCACACTTTCAATTGTAGAATTAGGTTATTACTCAATAGTTTGGATATGCGTTTAAGTATTATAGCCCAAAAATTTCCCAGTCAGACTTTCCCTTGTAGAGTTAGGTGATCACTCAATAGTTTGGATAAGCGTTTAAGTATTACATCCCAATGATTTGCCAGCCAGGTTTTCCTTTGTGGAATAAGGTGATCACTCAGTAGTTTCGATGAGCGTTTAAGTATTATAGCCCTCAGATTTGCTAGTCAGATTTTCCCTTGTAGAATTAAGGGATCACTTAATAGTTTGGATAAGCTATTAAATATTACATCCCAATGATTTGCCAGCCAGGTTTTCCTTTGTGGAATAAGGTGATCACTCAGTAGTTTCGATGAGCGTTTAAGTATTATAGCCCTCAGATTTGCCAGTCTGATATTCCTTTGTAGAATTAGGGGATCACTCAATAGTTTGGATAAGCGATTAAGTATTACAGCCCAAAGATTTGCCAGTCAGATTTTCCCTTGTAGAATTATGGGATCACTCAGCAGTTTGGATAAGCGTTTCAGTATTACATCCCAAAGATTTGCCAGCCAGATTACGACCTTGGGGAATAAGGTGATCACTCAGTAGATTGGATGAGCGTTTAAGTATTATAGCCCAAAGATTTGCTAGTCAGATTTTCCCTTGTAGAATTAGGGGATCAGTCAATAGTTTGGATAAGCATTTAAGTACTACAGCCCAAAGATTAGCCAGTCAGATTTTCCCTTGTAGAATTAGGGGATCACTCAATAGTTTGGATAAGCGTTTAAGTATTACATCCCAATGATTTGCCAGCCAGGTTTTCCTTTGTGGAATAAGGTGATCACTCAGTAGTTTCGATGAGCGTTTAAGTATTATAGCCCTTAGATTTGCTAGTCAGAGTTTCCCTTGTAGAATTATGGGATCACTCAATAGTTTGGATAAGCGTTTCAGTATTACAGCCCAAAGATTTGCCTGTCAGATTTTCCGTCGTAGAATTAGGTGATCACTTAATAGTTTGGATAAGCTTTTAAGTATTACATCCCAATGATTTGCCAGCTAGGTTTTCCTTTGTGGAATAAGGTGATCACTCAGTAGTTTCGATGAGCGTTTAAGTATTATAGCCCTCAGATTTGCCAGTCTGATTTTCCTTTGTAGAATTAGGGGATCACTCAATAGTTTGGATAAGCGTTTAAGTATTACAGCCCAAAGATTTGCCAGTCAGATTTTCCCTTGTAGAATTATGGGATCACTCAATAGTTTGGATAAGCGTTTAAGTATTACATCCCAATGATTTGCCAGCCAGGTTTTCCTTTGGGGAATAAGGTGATCACTCAGTAGTTTCGATGAGCGTTTAAGTATTATAGCCCAAAGGTTTGCCAGCCAGGTTTTCCCTTGTAGAATTATGGGATCACTCAATAGTTTGGATAAATATTACATTCCAAAGATTTGACAGCCACACTTTCAATTGTAGAATTAGGTTATTACTCAATAGTTTGGATAAGCGTCTAAGCATTACAGCCCAAAGATCCGCCAGCCAGATTACGACCTTGTGGTATAAGGTGATCACTCAGTAGTTTGGATGAGCGATTAAGTATTATAGACCAAAGATTTGCCAGACAGATTTTCCCATGTAGAATTAGGTGATCACTCAATAGTTTAGATAAGCGTTTAAATTATACATCCCAAAGATTTGCCAGCCAGAGTTTTCGATTATGCGATTGTAGAATTAGGTGGTCACTTAAAACATCTTGGTAAGCGTTTAAGTATTACACATCAAAGATTTGCCAAGCAGAGCTTTCAGTTCAGCGGGTGTAGAATTAGGTGGATAAGCGTTTAAGTAATACATCCCAAAGATTTGCCAGCCAGAGTTTTCGAATATGCGCTTGTAGAATTATGTGGTCACTTAAAACATCTGGGTTAGCGTTTAATTATTACATCACACAGATTTGCCGGGCAGAGTATTCAGTTCAACTGTTGTAGAATCAGGTGGTCACTCAATAGTCTGGATAAGCATTTAAGTATTACATACCACAGATTTTCCAGCCAGATTATGCCCTTGTAGAATTAGGTGGTCACTCAATAATCTGGATAAGCGTCGAAGTATTACATCCTAAAGATTTGCCAGCCAGAGTGTTCGATTATGCGCTTGTAGAATTAGGTGGTTACTCAAAACATCTGGGTAAGCGTTTAATTATTACATTACACAGATTTGCCGGGCAGAGTTTTCAGTTCAACTGTTGTAGAATCAGGTGGTCACTCAATAGTCTGGATAAGCATTTAAGTATTACATTCCAAAGATTTGCCAGCATTTAAGTATTACATTCCAAAGATTTGCCAGCCAGAGTTTTCGAATATGCGCTTGTAGAATTATGTGGTCACTTAAAATATCTGGGTTAGCGTTTAAGTATTACATTCCAAAGATTTGCCAAGCAGAGTTTTCGATTATGCGCTTGTTGAATTAGGTGGTCACTCAAAACATCTGGGTAAGCGTTTAATTATTACATCCCAAAGATTTGCCAAGCAGATTTTTCGATTATGCGCTTGTAGAATTAGGTGGTCACTCAAAACATCTGGGTAAGCGTTTAATTATTACATCACACAGATTTGCCGGGCAGAGTTTTTAGTTCAACTGTTGTAGAATCAGGTGGTCACTCAATAGTCTGGATAAGCATTTAAGTATTACATTCCAAAGATTTGCCAGCCAGAGTTTTCGAATATGCGCTTGTAGAATTATGTGGTCACTTAAAACATCTGGGTTAGCGTTTAATTATTACATCACAGAGATTTGCCGGGCAGAGTTTTCAGTTCAACTGTTGTAGAATCAGGTGGTCACTCAATAGTCTGGATAAGCATTTAAGTATTACATACCACAGATTTTTCAGCCAGATTATGCCCTTGTAGAATTAGGTGGTCACTCAATAATCTGGATAAGCGTCGAAGTATTACATCCTAAAGATTTGCCAGCCAGAGTTTCCGATTATTCGCTTGTAGAATTAGGTGGTTACTCAAAACATCTGGGTAAGCGTTTAAGTATCACAGCCCAAATGTCTGATAGAGTTTTGAATTCACCTGGTGGAGTGTTAAATGTCACATCGATGATATCCACTATTCTTGCGCCTCCAGACGGAAAAATAAATTTATGAATTTATTTCACTAAAATAAGATCACTAAAATGGAGATCTGAGTGAACATCTCATCAAAAAGAGAACGTTCAAAGTCGACCATGCGACTATGAGATGGCTCTGCCATGCAGCCTTATTTATACTGAAACTCATTGGCAAAATTCGAGCAGAGCTGCAAAGAGGCAAAGCTACATTAGACCTGAGCTACAACACCACGCAGTAAGCCACAGCCACACCGAAACAATGCTGATACACATACATCATGTATATATGATACATGTATACAGCGACCACACAACGCAAGCACACATGCGCAACAAAGGTACGCGCACGCACACACCGAGACGACCACGAGAAAATCGAAATTCGGTATCGACTGTTGCGCAGACACACAGACACGACCAGCGGCGAGAGAGCTGCTAGTCACATTACTGCACTATGGGAAATTTAGGCGTTTTTCGGTTATTTAGTCGTGTTTTTTTTAAGTATTGAAATTTATAATTATTTTTATGTTGACATATAAATAAAACTCCAATCTTTAAGGTACTGTACCTAAAATTTTGAATAACAGTCACTGTTAAAGTCAGCTAACATTTTCGAAAAGCACCGTGTCTTCAAATTTCAATTTTTGGTAGCCGATTTTCAAATTGTCAGTATTCAAAGACCAGACATATTTTTTTGTGAAATTTAAGACGGATATGGAATATTAGGGCTTCTACTATTTTTCGACATAGCTAAAATTTTATGTCTGAGCTTGTTCAATTAATATTTTGTTAAATTAGCCATTTATTGTAAATCAAATTCAACTTTGCGAAGGCATTATGTCGTAGAGCTACTACTAATTGTAATTTCAATGCAATTTTTCTCAATGTGTACTTTTCGCACAATCGGCAGAAATTTATGTCTTGCAGGTGACAACGAGGTTTCAAACGCGGTGATGTTTCGCTCAATTAGAAAGGCTACTATAATCAAGAAAGGGTAATTATGGATTTTCTTAAATAAGACTATTGTTGATTCAACTTATTAATCATATTTGAAAAGCAAAAGCAGTTTTTTTTGTCAAAATATAAATGCCAAATGGAATAAATGTAGCAGGAACAGAAACAAGTTGTCAACTATGAATGACTGCCTATGACAGCAAATGTTCATAAACTAATTATTCATTCTAGACGGATTATGTAAAATACTGTCCATCTTTCAGGCATTGGGCTACGCTGTAGTGTGGGCAATACTATGAGAATTTATTTAAATAAATAAATAAAAAATATATATAAATATAAATTAAATTTAAAAAATTAAATGCCTACTATAAGCAACCATACGCAGCTATAATGAAATAACAGACAGATATAGATATAAATAAAATAAATAAATAAATAAATAGAAATAATAAATAAATATAAAACACAATTTAATAAAATAAATTAATAAAAATTAATATCAGTAACTACACTACAATAGAATTTCAGCCACTGATTAAAGAAAACACAATATTTAGCATAAGTAGTATTAGTAGTATTGTTTAGTTATAGTTGAAATGGATTTATTAGAAGATTGTGATTGATGTAGGAATGAACAATAAATAATGAGTCGTTGATTTTTGAAGGGTTGATTTAATGGTGTAGGAAGCTTGTGTTTTTCGCTTTGGGAGTTTTTCAAATAATGAAAAGATGAACGATAGATGTAAGATAGGGCGGGTGCCACACACACACTATAGAAGAGTATAACTTTTAAGGTTCAAGTGGGTTCGGTATCAAGGATTTTTTTAAGTAGTCTGTGTATTACGAAGTAAAATCGTCGCAAATTATTTTTTTATAAATATTTTTCTTAGCTTAATCAAAAAAAAAATAAAAATCAATGCACCAACATTGATTGCTATGAAAATAAAAATGTCATAAAAAAATTTACATGCAAATGGAAACAAACCCATCGATGACGAGCACTAGCCTCTAAATATTACGCATTTCAAACAGCAATATTATTTGTAGACATGTATCCATGCCTTAATCTGTCCGTAATATTTTATTCATGGTGCAGAAATTATAAAATGCTTTGCCCTTCCGATATTTATGATGTCAAACCAGAGAAAGAAAAACATGTTTTTTCAAAAGATACAAACATACATATATTTTCTAAATTAAGCACTACTCTGCTCGCATATGCGCAGAGAAGATTAAATTTCCGATCAACTTTTGATCGAATGATATAGCTGTCCAATTTATTCAAATTTCTTTGATGATGTATATACATATACATACAGACATCGAAAGGGGACATGTTTAAACTATCTTAAAGGCTATTATAATAGCTCCTGCTCACGAGGAAGCAAAAAAATCGATCGGCTTTTTACTTAAATTTTGCAGTAATTGACAGCAAGAGCTCTTATTTTTGTTGTTTCAAAATGTATACAGTTTAATAAGTTTAGAAGAGCAAGCAGCAAATTTAAATTTTAACGAGGTTCTTCGGCAACACGCCTCCTACCACACTACTTACCGAACCTACAGCTGTAAATATTAATTTAATTGTTAAGTTTATAAATCTTTGTAATATTTTTCATCCAATTTAACTTCCAACATTCACGTCGATGGCCCTCGTAGCTAGCACGTTTAATAGTTTTTAGATTTATATTTTTTATATTATCTAACAAATAAATAATAAATAATAATAATAATAAATTTTAACGATAAAATTGGCTGTGCTCGAGCTGTTACGTGCGCTAGATTAATTAAGGCCATGTCATGTCGCTGGCGACCCATCGCTCATTGCCGAGAAGCTAGTTTGTTGGATAATTTTGTGATTTGTAGATTAATAGCATGTACATACTAAGTAAAAATAGTAGTTCGTATGATTATAATAATGCTTATAATCTGCCCAATGAGCAATCTACTACTTTTCCCTTGGCCCTACTTTGAAAATAACGCGTTTGCGAAAGTTGAGCTACAATTCAAAGCTACATACATTGCACATGACGCAGCCACAGCTACTCCGAAACAATGGTGACACACACATGTACAGTGTACACTACGAAACAACGCAAGCACACATGCGCACTATTAGCATTTACACACAGCACAAGAGCGACACGAGAGTGTCGCTCTTCTTCATCGACGACAGTACACGCACACATGCGTACCAAAAGCGTGACTCGCAGAGAGTGTTGCCATTTTGGCCTATTTATGGCTAGGTCTAGCTTTTTTGAAATTCTTGAAAAATTCTTCTAGCCTTGAGCCTTAACACAAGATACGTATGTATACAGACAGAGACAACCAGCGACGAGAGAGCCAGCTGCTCTTCGGCTTTGGCAGCAGCACACGCACACAAGGCGCAACAAACCATCAGCCACCATGTCACACAGACACAACCATGCACAATGCGAAAACGGGACGTAAGCACACATGCGTAACTGAAACCACAACGAGAGAGTCGTTCATCGGTAGCGACGCATACCGCTCACATGCTCACCAGAAGTATTCAGTCATGCACAGTCTTTCTCCGCTGTTCGGCAAACACACACATGTCGCAGCAAACCAAAGACCCCGGTCTAAATTCTTACTATTTAATTTACTTTTAATTTTTAATTAACTTATAATTAATTTATATTAATTATAATGAGTCGGAAGCATCGCATAAGCGACTTGTAGATGTTATTATAAATAAAAATATAAAGTAGCATGTACAAATTAATAAATAAAATCGGCATTTCCAACTGAACCCAGACATTGAAAAAAATCCATTAAAATTAATTTTTTTTTTTTTCCTGGAGCAACAAATGCAAGTTAAGACTTGCCTTTTTTTATGGTATACTATTTTTACAATTCAGGGCACTATTCCATAGAATATAATAATAAGAAAATTATATGAAATTGAAATTAAAATTGCAACTGCAACAAGCCACCAGTACTCAAGGCGCACTCGGTAAAGATTGGTTAATTTTAAATATTTTCAGGAAATGAGAGAGCATTATCTGCGTTATCTAGATAAAGTATAAGGACAGGCGGATAGACGGACAGAGCTATATTTACTCAGCTCGTCGCGGTAATCAATAACATATGTATATACTTTATGGAATCTGCGACAACTCCTGTTACATACATTTAACAAAACCATTATACCCTGATAAATAAAAAATACTAAACAATTACCCCTGCTTTAATTGCTTAACAAGATCAATCAATATAAAATTCCTGGAATTTTCTCTTATCGACTTTTCGTCATCATTGGATAAACTTAAAGCTTTTCTAAAAGCATATCCATTATACAAATCTCTAACCACATAGGTAAGGTGTTACTAGAACACTACATTTTACACTAAAAAAAACTGAACCGATAGTGCAAACATGTTCGACAACGAATACGGGTGTTTGCATGAATGTCACTTCTAGAAACATTTCTGACAGTTAAGACGTGTCAGAGCCAAACAGAGTGAGCTTCTTCATTGAGTAACTTAAGGTTAGCGTCGTAGTTTTTCGCCGAGTTGCGATTGCAGCAGTAGCAGAGATGGAAGCAAAAGAAAAACAACAAATTTTCGAAAGTGTGGAATTACTTCAAGGGCTCAGAAGACAAGTATTTTGTAAAATGTTTGAACTGCCAAAAAAAGTATAAGGCGAGTGGAAACACTTCAAATTAGCTGCGATGGTTGCAAAGGATGTCCAACCGTACAGAATTGTTGAAGACGAAACACTTGCTCACTACTCTTACACTTTAGATCCACGCTACAAACTGCCGGATCTTTACAACGACAAAAAACAACCTCAGATAAGTTATACAGATGTTGGAGGAAGTGGCCAACGTTGCAGGGACCTGCAATTTGTGAACATCTAGTGCGAATGTGAAACGAATATTACATGAAAACCGCATCACTTACAACTAAAAACTAAAAAATGCAACCAATCATTCGGCACAAAACATGACTGACAGATTAAAGGAAATTTTGAGAAGATAAGTGACTTAAAAAGAGCTAAATAAAGAAGTGCACACATTTTTTAAATACAACACACAAGAAAATAAGTCACTTTGTAATGTGTGTGGATTAAAATTCTCAGGCACTCAAGCTACAAATTTGAAACGGCATTCGACTACAAAACATGCTGAAAATTTTAAAGCATGGGACAGTAACGAGGACACTGAAGTACAACAATGTGAAAAAAGTGACATATCACACGAGTGAAAATTCCATTATTTCATCAATAATAAAAAATTTCCCTATGGCTGGAAAACCATTTCTGTTCCTCGAAAGTGAAGGGCTTAGGGAATCCCATTTGCAACTCTCTAGGCATGAGCCCAATAATGTCACGAAATGTATTGACTTGTGTGTCTATAAAAGAGCAGTCTATCAAAAACAACATATGGGCTCTGGTAAAGGGAAAGCTGGTGTCGCTCAAAATCGATGTTGCCACTAGATAACGCCATTCTAGGTGTCGATTCGCAAATGATCCACGTTAGCCTATATAATATTGACACACTGGAATATGTATAAAATAAAAAATAGTTGAATTCCTAGACGATTACAGAATAAGTCTGAATCAATAATATTTGCGTTGACATCGATTTGGATGGGATGGAGAGATACATCAAGAACACATATGAGGCTACTCGAAATGTTCGAAGATCAAAAGTAAAAGAATAAGATTTTAAATATACAAAGAAGACGGTTAAGCACGATGGAGGCGGCATAATGGTTTGGGGCAGCTTTTCATGGCAAG